GTACAGTATACTATATAATATACACTATACATATGACGCATCAATAAGCATTGCACATTCACCACAGATATTTTCAATATTTTTCATAATATATTATCATACACAATTTTTAAATATATTAAAACATTTAAAAGTTTTTACTGTTCTTCATGAAYTTCTGAAAATGACCTTCATCTATACTCTTATTAGGTTATTTATATATACATATACTTATTGGTATATGATATGTATGGTAATATTCATACAATTTATAATATAATGATATCTAATACAATGCAAGTATATATATAGTGGCGATAYTAATGGTGAAACGTCTTACAAAACTATGTTCTGTCGAACGAATATTTTTGTCTATTGAATTATATATAGCATAGAGGCCATAAAGTTAAAGTCTATTAAATTTAATGTTTTTAAAAACATTCGATGCTGCGTGTGGAAGAGTGTTACTGGCAAATAAACTTACGCGTAAAAACCCGAAGCACACAAGTTCACTTTTTCAAAATACGCTGTCTTCACCCATTCAGCCCACGTACCTTCTGGACTCCTCTTCTTGATCGGTTCCAATCTGGCTTTCACGATCTCACAAGCGTTCTGCAACACGATCGTCGTAKCGATAATATAGAGCAATAAAATGTATGATTTAATATGTAATGTGTGAACCATAAGAAAATAGTTAGTGATCATCTCAGTTGTTTTTTGTAAACAGATTGATTCACCAAGCATGCTAACCCCTTTTTTTCTCTTTAATATTGAATTTATTCAAAATCTGACTTTTGGAATCTTTAAATATACTCAAATACCATATTTTCAAATTCTTGAGATTTGTTGTACTATCTATTTAAGGAGTATCCTGTGGCAATACAAACTTTTGTTTTTCAATTGAAAACCTCAAATTTTACTGTAAATTAYATTTAGTGGATCATTTGTTGAGAATTTTGACCTATTGAAATCTAAATTCTAATGAGTAGTTTTAACTTTGTGTTATGATGATAAAAGGTCCATGGTTTAGGTTTATAAGATTATGTGGTCTATGGTGGATTTGAAAATATTAGTCATTAATATCGACATAAATAATTTRTAATAACGACTTAGTATCATAAATACTAGTTCCATTGTACTATTGTATTCCTACTGWGTATTTTATACTTTATTAAAACGATTTTTAAGGACTATTATTCTTAATACAAACATTTTAATATTTAGGAAACTACTCGTTCAAATTTTGATTTCGATACATAAAAATTCTCAAAAAAAATTATCCACTAAATAATTTATAGTAAAAAATTGTGGTTCTCATTTAAAAAACAAAAGTTTGTATCGCAACAGGATACTCCTTGAGTGGTACAAAAATCTTAAGAATTTGAAAATATGGTCTTTGAGTATGTTTAAAGGTTTCAAAAATCAGAATTTGAAAAACTTCRTTATTAAAGAAAAAAGGAGGTGAGCATGCTTGGTGAATCAAACTGTACCTATATAATATATTAAATGTTAATATTATTCACTTCGCCTAAATGGCTTAATATTGTAGTATTATACTTCTTATTCTTCGACCATTTTATTATTTTATTGTTTAATAATATGTAGAGAAAGAATCGACCATTTTAAAGAGGATAACCGGAAGGCTGTGACATTGCGGGCCTGTTGTGGAAGATAAACGCTTTATGCATCAGCCTCTTCGAATTTTCCGGTAGATCGAAATTTACTTTCAGCCTTTGGTGATCGTATTGTGCAGAACGTAAAATTATATATTATATTAAAATTATAATTTGCACGAGGTTGCTGCAAAAGTCTAAAATGAGATATACTCGTACACCTGCGGGCCACGTCATCTGCACACAAAAACCTTCGAGGGATCCAAGTTAGTATGCCTCTCTTTCATAACAAATTATTACTCYCCCCTCCTCCTCAAAACTAAAATCCAGCGTGTACGYATATACTCACGAGAACAGCCATCCCGTTGAGGTCGGAGCTGAAGCTGCCGGCGGTTGGTGACGCATTGGCCACCTTGTCGGTGCTGGTCTCTTTGATGTGTATCAACTCGGTGGGTATGCCTAGTGCCCTGCTGGCCACTTGTATCATTTTTGTGTGCAGTCCCTGGCCCATTTCAACGCCACCGTGCGCCAGCAGTACGGAACCGTCGACGTAGACGAGTATCAGGGCGCCGGCTTGGTTCAAAAACGTCGAATCTCCCGAGAACCCGATACCGTACATTGTCGGTACAGCTGCGATGCCACGTTTCTTCCACCGATTTGCTCTAAAACCGTATTATTTATTTATATTGGTTACGATCGGCAAATGAATTGGTAAATACAAAAAATATGAACTGCTATTATATGACGATTTATAAACAAGTGTAAAAATATTAAGAGAACGCTAAACATATATTTGTTGTCTCCGTCTTACAAGTGCATTTCATAGAAAATTTACACTTGGCAGATCACGTTTAACTCCGTTAATTTAAAAATTAGAGTAAATTGAAAAATTATGAAACTAGATTATCTGTGTTTGTTGTGGGTTTTTTACGATAACTTAGTTTTTAATTGAATTATGTACATTTTTAACTTGCGCTTTTTATATTCGCATAACTTGTTAAAAAATTGAACTATCGTAAAAACCCACATACAAATACAGATAATGTTCTTAACATAAAGTTTCATAATAGGTCGGTTCCCTTTAATATTTTAACTAACAGAGCTAAACATGATCTGCTGAGCGTAAATTTTCTATGTTATACACTTGTAAGACGGAGACATCAAATGGTCGTGTAGCGGTCCTTTTAATACACCTTCCAGCAGACAGCTGTGTTACAGTCTTACAGATAATATCAATCCGTATAATTTTCTTTTTTTATAATTTTCCGTATAATTTTCTTTTTTTATAATTTTCAAAGTCATTATAAAAGTTAATAATATTATTGATGAATATTAATACATTTTTTTATTTAATATTAATTATTATTACAAAAGTAAATAAATGTTTCTTTTAGTGTTAAACAAATATGTATCACAAATTGGACCAAACAGTTCACCTGTTCTGATCAAAACAATTATTGTA